AGACAGTTATCAGTGTTTTAATCAGTGGTCATCGGATCGTTTTTGACTATTTTGGAAGCTTAAGAAAAAAATTAAGATCAAGTTTGTTATCCTATGAACATATTAAAGTTGAGGTAGTCGTATATTCAAGGGACCTTTAGTTGGACAGACAGAAGGGTAAAGAAATGGATCAACAGATAAACCAATAGCACAATATTGTTTCATTGTTCTGAAGTATCTATTTTCTAAAATGTTGAGATCTTTAAATTTATGTATTTCTTGTACTAGCTATGGACATGCGTTCTTACCATAATGTTACTCTTCAAAAATATACTAAGAAAAATAGGTAAAATCATTTAAGTGGGGTATGGCCCGTCAATAAATGCCGTACACCACACTCATACCAGTAAACATAAAACGTCTTACGGCGTAATGTTTACGAATGGACCGACGGACAGACGAGCTTAGATTGATTCAGAAAGTGCTTCTGAATAGTGGCTTCGTTGTAAGGCTTTTTGGATATTGCATACATCCGAACAAACTTAATATACTTTTGTACCGCAAGTGATGTAGGGTATAATGACTTCAGCAAGTTGCATTTCTTGCGAAAATTTCCTGGATTTGCGGCAGTTAGTGACGTTGTGCGATACAACTAAAAGAACGACATCGGGCTTTGGCCAAATCTTTTATACTCTCTTTTATCTTTAAAAAATAAAACGAAATAAAAAACTTAAACTTCGATGTTCCATAATACGAAGAAGACGTGAATGATTGTTTTCTTCCCCTACAGGTATTGTATGACGATTCTTTGAAATTTTGATTTTTTATCTACGAGTTATGAAGAAAAGTTCAGAAATCGTAGCTCTTCGTTTTTAACCTACGCTACAGGCGTTCTTTAACCGCTCTGTGTGCAAGAACTCCTAAAGTCTCCCGAAATTTGAAGACAATATAATAACTTTTGCGATTAGGAGAACGACGTAAAGATGAATGAACATACATGCCGGGAGTGAATGCGCATTTAATGCTTTCTAGAATCTGTCATGCTCACCTCTGGCAAAACGAGTATACGCACAATTTCTCGGAAATGTACGGATTTTGTTGATCAAAATCTAAAGCAAAATTTATTTTCATGACAAATAAAAAAGAAAGTTTTACAACTTTCAGTAACCTAAAGTCCTAGATAGCAACCATTCCAGACTTTAGACAAAGTATTCCCGAAGATATCTTCCGGCTTAACTCAAGTTAGTCAAGTTATCAGGCTAAGGAAGTTAAACTAAGCGATGGACTGATAAGGGAAAGTGTTGTGAAGACAAATGAAGTAAAACGTTGTTAGTTAGTTACGACTATTCCAGACTTCACATAGAATATTTCCAAAAATATCGTCGGGCTTTACTCAAGTTAGTCAAGTTATTAGGTTAAGAAGTTTAAAGCAAGTGATAGACTGGTACGGGGAAGTGTTCTAAAGACAAATGAAGTGAAACGTTGTTAGCAAAAAAAAAAGCTGTCTCAACTTCGGTAACACCGCGTCAAGACAAAATTAGCAGCAAAATTAGGCATGCTTCCGAACTTTTGTAAAGGTCTGGAAATCGTCGGTTGATCAATATTGAGGTTATATCCGATCTCTATAGTCATTACAAATAGCTTCGATGGTACGATGGAAAACCAACAATGAAAATGTTTAAACAACATCCGGAAGCATTTCGAAATGAATAATCGGTGCATGGTCAGTATATACCTGCACTCGCAATAGCCATCGTATGTCATGCGGAATGCACTTATATTCATCGGCGTCAATTATCAAAATATTTAAGAACCTATAAGGGTTTTAAAACGACTAATTGATTGAATGTTGAAGTTATATATGATAACTCTTGTCACTAAACGCGACTCAGAGTCCATAAAGGGTTTGATATTAGTAATGTTACTATGCTATGTGTAATGATTACACGATTTTTAGGTTATGTGCGATTTCTATAATAAATTTCTGTGACCATTTTCTTAGAATGAAAGGAAAGATAATAGAAAACCAATATTCGATGATCCTAATAGCATATAGATAGAGCCACCTTTTATTAGGTCGATCGATTGAGAAACGAATCGATTTCAGCCTGTCCATCCGTCCGTCCATCTTGTTTCTTATGTCGAAACTACAAGTCGCACTTCTTCAGGCCCAAAACACGATCGCTATTGCAAATGGTTCAGATCGGACAACTTTTTCAACCACTTCCTATAGGACGCCATATTTTGAATGTTTATAGGGTGGTCTGGGGTATTTAATCAGCACCTTCTAATGAAATTCTTAAGATATTTTATAAATCGATTTTTGGGTGATTGCTAGTTATGCAAATGAATATCCAGTCCAATTTTTCTCAAATTTATAACCTAAAAAAGTCTACCTTAACGTTAATACATAATCAATTTACTAAATTTACGGAAAATATCCCATAAAAGTACTATCAAAAATTCGCAAAAAAGGAGTGAAAATTTTTGGGTTTCTGTTATGGGCCGATAGGTTCTGAGTTAGTTCCAAAGTTAAAAGAAACTGTGCATACAAGTTATGTTGTTTAACAAAGCGATGTTTAAAAACTCGATATATTCGATTCTTCTTTTCGGGCTTCTGACGTTACAAGCGAAATAATAAATCTAGAATAACAAGAATATCTGGGTGGTTTTGCAGACAAGGGAAATATTTATGATTTCTTCCATAGAAACACTTTGCACTATATATACATATACATATATATATATATTTGTGTCTGCATTTAGATGTAGCTCTATAGTATATATATACGCTCATGCTTTACATGATCGTAGATTTTTGATACTTTGCAAAGTAATTAAAGTAAAATGCGAGAGTGATTTATGTGCATTTTCTCTCAAACTCAGGCCTGATAAAGACGCGATGTGCTCATCTCTTTCTTAGAGATTCTCTCAATTCAATTCAATTTATGTTATGTGCTCTCAATATAAATATTCACTTTAAATAGACATACGTTAGCCCTAAAAGTCGGTGCCGGTTAATAGTTCCAAACTTTCTTATTTCAATATATTTTTTTTTTTACGTTAAGAAAAAAAGAAAGCAAAAAATTTTTTTGCTTAAAAATAAAATAAAATGCATTTTCTATTATTATTTATTTATTTAGGCACGAAATCCAGCTCAAATAAAGGAATAGCGGACTTCAATTGACTCTTCTGCTCTTGCCTTTTATTCTTTTGTTTTTTTAGTAGATTGTTTAATTTTATTTTTTTATTGCATTTTTTTAAATTGTAAATTTTTTAATTTTTTGAATATTTTCATTGTTCAGTATTTCTATCTTTTAAATTGGATTTCTCGATTTTCAAAATGCTTTGTGTTTTGTTTTTGAAATTTTGAAATTTTCTTTCTTTTTTAAGTTCCACTTTTTAATTCTTACTTGTTGTTCTTCTTATTATTTTTTTATCGTATTTTTAATTTTTTTAAATTTTTCTACTATTCTTATTTTCAAATGGCATTTCTCGATTTTTAAAAAGTTTTTCTTTTTTTTTTGTGTGATATTTGAAATTTAAAAATTTTTTTTTTAAGCTCTTCTTAGTTTTTTTATCGTAATTGGTTCTTAAATTTTTTAATATTATTTGTTATTTCTATTTATTTTATTGGATTTTTCATATAAATTTTTATATACATTTTTATTTTTTAATTGTTGAGTTTTTCTATTTAAACTTTTCTATTTTTTATTTATTTTTTAATTTTTCTTGAGTTCCTTCTGCTCGTTTTATCGCATTTTTTCAATTTTTTTATTATACTTATATTTCTATTGTTATTTTGATTTTACCAATTTTTAAATTTTTTTTTATCGTGTATTTTAATTCGAAATCTTTTGTGTATTAATTTTTTAAATATATTTTATTTTATTGAATTTTTTAAAAATATTTTATTACTTTGCTTTTTTTTAATTTTTTAAATCTTTTTCTTCGTGTTTCTTTATTGCATATTTTAAAATTTCAATTTTTGCTGTTATTTTTCATTGTTAATTTTTTTTTTTAAGCATTTTTTAATTTAATTACAATATATATTTCTAAGCATATACATGAAAGGTAAGTGAGTGCTTATTTTATTTGGTTGATAACATTTAAAACATAAAAGGCGTTCAACAGCCGATCAAGTCCGTCTTTAGAGATATGCTGTGTGTACGAATTTCCCCAATTATCTCACAGTTATCCCAATTATGCACGTATGAAATTTACACACACAGGCATACATATATATATATATACACGCGTTGTGTGCGCGCACACATGAATTTTTGAGAGGCTTACGCTTGAAAGTTCACTTGATGTTTTCAATTTTTCAATATTTTTTGCCGGCTCTCTCTCAGCGCCTCAACATGATGGTTCGAAGAATTTCTTCTCAGATTCTCTCAATGTTGTGCGAAATGGTTTTAATTTTTTTTTTCTTTTCATTATTAAGTAGATGCGGTTGTTGTTGTTGTTTTTTCTTCTTTCTGTTTTTATTCATTTTTTTTTGCATGCAGCAAGAAACCACAACAACCAAACGAGCTAATAACCGGTTGCATTGATAATGCTCGCTAACATGTAATGGTATGTGTCGATGGAGCTGAGTTCCCAATTGGCGCGCGCGAGACGACGACTGGTAAAGAGGCAAATTTTTTCTTACTAAAACTAGTTTATCGGTGTCGTTGCTATTCTCAACGTCTTCTGTTTGTTAATATAAGAAAATAAGTTTTAAACACGGCACCGCTTACTTGCACCTCTAACGGTGCAATTTGTGCGTACTATAAATAAAAAAAAAAAAAAAAAATGAATAAATAAAAAAGAGCAAAAATAAATTTACAAATTAGAAAATAATCCATGATTATTGATTATAGAAAGCAAAGCGAAATAAATAGAGAGAAAAAAAAAGAGGAAAGAAATGTCTTGAGTAAAATACGTTTTTATATATGTCGTGTTGAAAAAGGGAGTTAGTTCCATTGATTAACCGAAAGTTGTTATAAAAAGTGTGTGTGTGCAAAAATTCGTAATGTTTATGTTGTTTTCGTTTTTTTGTGTTTTTTTTTGGTTTTGTTTTTTTTTGGTTTTCTGTTTTCTGGAGCAGCATATGTGATCTCATGTTTTATAACACTTTGTTACAACTTTAACGAAAATTACATTGTTTTCTTTTTGTTTTTGTAAGAAAGCAAAGAAATTTTTTTGCAAATATAATATTATAAAACAAAGTGATCTTCAGCTTGTACATGCGCTTATTTAATAAAAGATTTGCTTACGATTATCTTCAATATGTGCGTGTATAGTGGCATATATATACATATATGTACGTAGATAGATGTGTGTGTGTATATATGTGTATGTAAATAATTGATAAGCTTACTGAAGTGAATATTTTATGCGAATATTGCATTCAGGGCCCACAGTGAGTATTATATTATAAAATATTTGTATTAAGTGAGCACAATTTTCGATTTATTTAGATGAAATTTTTTTTTTTTTTTAAAATAAAATATGAAACATTGATAGCGATTATAGTAGCAATAGCTGCAATTATCAATAATAATAAAAAAAAAAAAATTCCTTACAACTGGTTCAACATGTATTGCTACTAAGCATAACCGACGCATTTTAACGCTTGTCATATTCTAGTCTAAATAGAAAAAAATTAAAAAAAAAAACAAAAATATAAGAGAAATTTTTCTTTGGTTATACGGCTACTTGTCTGATTTGTTTATGTTATGTTTTTTTTTTTTTTTTCAATATAGAAAACACTAGCGTCTTACTTACAACTTACTCTCTATTGCACTATTCTTATGGAAGTTAATATTTACATTCTCTGAATATGATAAACATATATAGCAAATACGATGTAGTTGTGAGCATTGAAAATGCTGTAAACTAATGAACTTAAGATTATTGTGTTAATTTAATAATTTTTAATTATTTATACCATTTCACACAATAAGGTTGTATTTACTTACATTAGTTAGTTTACCGGTTGCTACGCCCACAATATATATAATTAGGCTGTGCTACTATCTAGAATGTGAATTCATTTTACATTTCACATTCAAGATAACGTATACCATAAAACAAAGCTTAGCTTCAAAGTTACATTGGCAAAGGAGACCCGTTTTTCAATAATGTGTTTAATTTAATTTCCGAATTCTTTCTATATGTGCCGTTTTAGCATTTGTTCACAAAATTCAGTTTTCGAATAACTTCCAAATAATGGAAAGCGAATGGGCTTATAAATGGCTTATAGCCTTATAGACTTACAGTATACTACAGTCAGTTATCAGTTTCCACAGCAAGGCGATGCTTTGCAAGTGTTTTCAGTTTTATTTAGACAAATAATTTTTCTCATGTATACTTTTTATATTTTTTTATTTGCTGGGATATCCGTTATACATGAAGTAGCGTTAGGGCTTGTCTATAAAGAAGAGGAGAAAGAGAAAGGAAGCAGTGTTTGTTGATAATTCTTGTATTGGAATACTTTGCTGCAATCAATTGCTCTTTACTATGCACGTGCTCTTCTTTTACAGGAAGAACGCGGTTTAGTACACGTAGAGTTGTAGACGATATTTAACTTCTCAGCTTCGGAGGATGGTTTAAAGAAGAACATTGCGACATCGGCAACATATCCTTCTCCTGATTTAAGACTGTGTGGTCACCTGATGTAGGTCGAGTATCAAATCCACACGTCGCAATATTTAGCGTATATATATATATATATATATAATGGGTGAAATTAAAAAGTTTTCACGGCGTTTTCCATGGTTTCGAGCTTCTTTCGGCAGCCTGCTCTTCTCAAATGATTCCAAATTGTCATTTGGTTGCTGTTTAGTGCCTGTGCTATTTCCTGACAGCTTGCGTGCCGGTTTTGCTCTACCCGTTGCAAAATTTGATCTACTTTTTCAATGATGGTGAGGTGCATCTTTGACATCGAAACTTCTGGAACGGAATTGAATAAACCACTTCGGGGTCCTTCGTTCATTTACAATATTCTCACCGTACACTTCATAAATTTTTTTTTTCGCAGCATTTTCACCTTTTTTATGGTAAAAAGGGATCACATGGCGTATTTCTTCAGATATTTCACTCATTTTCATATCAATATAACCTTTTAGACGAGCAAAGAATTGGAAAATTATCTGTACGAAAAATGTAAACTGAAATGTTATCTTTTAAGCACATGTTCGTTTGAGATTGAAAAGGCAGAAATAACTCGAGAAAGTGAATACCTTGAAAATTACGATTTCGCGGATGAAGGGCAAAATACTGGACCTACACCAGACAGACGAATGGCTTTAAATAGAGTCAGTTATAGGAAGCTTCTTTCTTACGCCAATCCTTATATGGGAGAGAGTTCAAAAAAGAGAGTTTTGGGGTCCAAAATGAACGGAGGAAGCTTAAGTCTTACGGTTCCATTCAGGATCAGTTTTCATGGTAAAATATTAGAAGTTAGAGCTTATTGCCGTATGAAAGTCCTTTCTTGAAGGAGGCTTCTCTCTCATAGCGATACTTATATGAGAGAGAGTTCAAAAAAGTCACCTTTAAAGCTTCCCAAAATGAACGCGAGAAGGTTAAGTCTTAAAGCTCTATTCAGGTTCATGACGATCCTCTTCGATTCTTTCCCATGAGGGTCCTTTCACGGGACAGGGTTCAAAAAAGGAAACTTTAGACGTTTCCAAACTGAACGCGGGAAATCTTCAGTCAGAATCAATTTTAATAAAAATTAGACGTTGTTGCTATGTGAAACCCCATTTTTAATGGAGCAAAGTTTCGAAGATTCTCTTCTCATATTCATTCAAAACAAAATTAATTATTAATTATTTACCGTTGTTAGTCGGGAAATATTAAAAAGGTAAATTTATTTTTCATACAAGGACATTGATAAAATTCATAAAATAATATTGAGCCGGTTAGGATAATAAAACACACCATCTTGCTCCGCCAGCGGGGCAAGGCATGTATAATAATTAAGTTACTCATTAAAAAGTTATTATATCGCGCTCAAGGCAGGCTTTTTCGTTTAAAGAGCAGTTATTGACCCAGTCCTTCATATATACTTTCATAGCAGCCTTGAAGCAAGGCCTTCACGTCCTTCCACGAAGTTGTTTTTCTCATTTCTTACAATTGATTGAGTTAAAATCACTTAAAGGTGAAGACATAACATTTGACAGTTGGGCACATACTCAATGGCCTGTGGTCATCACCTCCCTATCTCTTTCACTTTCCTCATTCCTTTCTAACCGTTAGCGCGTTACACGAATAGACGAGAAATTTGGAGGAAGAAAAATTTATTTCATGTAATTTTTATTTCAGAAGGCCCTGTTTGTTGAATGTTCTGCTTGCCGGTCATATGGTTTTTTTTTTTTTCACTTAAAGAGTTTTAGTGCAATAGTGCAGATGCACCGATAAGAATTCCTTGAAATGAGTTTTGTGATGAATGCTTTTCATGCTTAATATATCCATCAGTATGTCAAGTAAGAATTCTACAGATTTGTTTACCTACTAAAGTCGAACCTCGAATTCAATTTTCGAGTAACAGCTTTTTAACTCTATCAATGTGTTATCTTTTTTCAGCTATTAAAGAGCGACTGGAAGGAGACAAGTCAACCACCACGCGCCAGGTTTCTTTGCATACTTTAAGTTAAGCATTTGTTTATGTTTTTAATATTCACACTGTTATGTTGCGATACGTTGTAGGTCTTCTATAGTGATTTTAAATTTAACATGTTGATCTATTTTTTGTCTTCTTTCGAACAAATGCTTTTATATAACATAACATGCAACGATAATTGCTCGCCTTACAGTTTGTTTACTGTATTCAGCGTATTAAACAAAGATCGCATTTGAGAAGTAAATTGAAATTGATTGTCCAAGACTTTCCTTCCATGACCATGAGTAAAAAATTTGAGTTTTCTTATCTTATAAAGTTAAGACCTGATTTCCAAAAGTCTCTTGTTAATATATAAAGAAATGTACTTTTGAACTCTTACTTACCTTGTGGTTAATATTTCTTCAATAGGCGAAATGACGAAATCTGTTTAATAACTAAGCCGGCATATATTACCGTTCTAAACAATAGCTCTGGTGTTTAGATCTAAATGGGGTGTAAGAGATTATAGCACATTTGTGAACCCTATATAATTGCTGTTGCTATTCTCGTGTATAAAATTCTTATAGACTCTAAAAATACACATAGGTTAGCGCACACAAAAAATACACATTGATATGTGCAGTCGCCTGTTAAGTTATTAATTGCATTCTTTTTACTCTTGTAGTGGTCTGCATCTCACAGTTGCATGCATGCACTTGTCTTCGTTTGCATTATCGGCATATCTATTTAGTTGCATTTCTCTCTCTCCCCCCCTCTCTCACCCTCTCTTTATCTCTCTCTCTCTCTTTCTGTCTCTCCCATCCACTCCCTGTCTCTGTGTCTGCTTTCGTGTTTCCTTCAGACACTCATTAATTCTCTTTCGACAAAGTCTTAACTGTGTTTGTGTTATCACCGTCACCGTGCAAAACAATACATAATAAAAAAAAAAACAACAAAAATTATGCTTAGCTTTGTTTACTGTCTTATCATCATTTTTATTGATTATTGAGTTCATTGTGTCTTAAATGAAAATAAAAGTATCTCAAGTGCATTAAAAAAGAAAAAAAAAAAAAATGAAATTTCGGTTACTTTGTGGTTTTGAGAAAAAACATTTTTTTTTAAATTAAAAAATCAAATTATAGTATGAATATGCTTGCGGTACCTTTGATCCAAAGTAATAATCAATCATCTTTGAATGTTTCGTAGTCAAGAAATTTCCATATCAAATTTACTGTTTTTTTACAATACATTGAGAAAAAAAGTAGGAAAAAAAATACATAAAAAGGATAGCTGCTTGAGCCTGCTTATTCGATATTAAAAAGTTATTATTATTAGTAACCATCACCGCATTAGAGATAGCCCATCACTTATACGCAAATCTTTTTTTAAGAAATTAAAGAATGAATTATAATCCGTCTTCTGGAGAAATCGGAGCTAATCTAAAACCTAAGATATTTAGCGTTTCCACAATTCGGCTAGTATCAACCACCATATAATTCCGAAGCACAAGATGTTAGTGCGAATTCTGTTTTGCGTATGCTTTAAAAAATAACACGACCAGTACTTGTTTTAGGCAGCTTATAAAAAGAATGTAGGCGGCAGAGAGGAGGATTCATCATAAAAACTTCCTCTTAGTAGCTTTTATATCAATTTCCACAGATTTGCAAATGTCCAAACAAAGAGCACTATTCTCTCGAGCTTAGCTGCTTCTTTTCTCTAATCCGCCAGGCAAGAAGACGACTCTTCTACCCATGAATTGTGCTCTATTAGATCCATGAAATAGTTAAGTAAAAGTTAGCCCGAAGTGTGACAGCGAA